TATGGGGCTCATTTGGGGCCGATTACACATCGAGGAGCAGCGCGGGCGGAGTGGGGCGCGGCGTGGCGCAGCGTGGCGCGCCCCGGAGCAGGCCGAGCAGGCCGCTGTACACTCGGTGACCCCTCGCTCGCGTTGTTGGCCCCTTGGCTCCATTCGAACTCTGCCTTTTCCACGTGGGCGTTTCTGACGGTGTGGTGGCGCCGGTGCTGGGGGCGCCCAGGCCCAGCTGCCCCCTCCTCGACTTGCCCCTCCACCCTTTCGGGGCTCGGGGCGGAGTCCCCTCCCCCTGAGCGGCCACTTCCGTTCGTCTGAGGCGTCTAGGCGCGCCTTTTGAAGAGTACCGACACTTCTTAATTAATATCGCCCCGTGTCTCTCTCGCTCCCACAGCCCCCTCCGCCCCACGCCCTTGCCCTTCTCTGGCGCCGTTGGCGTGCTGGCGTCGGCAGGGGCCGCGCGCGAAGAGTGAGCGAGTGAGACGCAAGACAAGACGCGCGCGGAGGACACGGCGACGCGGCTGCGGCACTCCCGCCAGGCCGCCAGCGCTGCAGCGCTAGGGGCTGCTTCCGCTTTTCGCGCCTTGCAGCATGCTTGCAGACGTCGCCGAGTGAAGAACAAAAGCAGGCCCTATCATGAACTCGGAGCCAGCAGCGCGCCTAGCAGCAGCTGTTAGTGTTTTCGACTTCGTTGAGACCTACGTGTGTGGCTTGCGACCAATCAGGGTTCAGCTTCGGACGATCGAACCCAAAAGCGGACGTCCAAGTTGTTTCAACAGAGTAAAGTCGGGGGAAAGGGGTGGGTAAGGTGTTCAGTCCACAACGACTGCGCGCGCGAGTCCTTGCTGCAGACCGTCGCTCAGTCTCTCTCACTCAGCCCTACGTAGCGGCCCGTGAGAGCGAGAGAGACAGAGCGACGACAGCACTGTTCGGAATGAGACTGTACTGCGGCGGCGGCCCGACCCGGCACGGCCCGGCACGGCCCGGCACGGCCCGCGATGCGATGACACCCCGCGACGCGCGGCAAGCCGAGGCTAGTCGAGCACCGCGCCACTGCCGCGGGCCGTGCCGCCGAAGAGGAAGAAGAAGAGGAGGAGGATCGCCGTGCCCCCCTTTAATTCGTGGGTCATAAATAAGTCAGCAGGGTTGCAGGCCGCGCCGCGCCGTGCCGCGTGGTGTTAGTCGCCTGTATGTTGGACGACGTCGCGGCAGGTTGTTTGACAGGCACACGCGGTGTTTGACACTCGGAGGCTCACTCTGGGGCGACACCGGGCCGCACCCCCCTCCCCCTCCCCCTCCCCATGTCCTACACAACAACTCTGTTGCACGGCAAACACGCCCTTCCCTTCCCCCTCACTGCTGCAGCAGTGCTGCCTCGCTTGCGCAAGACCCGGGGCGCGGGGCGCGGGGCCCGTACCGGTAATCGCTGGGACGCGAGCGGCACGCGTCAGTTTCATACGCCGCGACCAGAAATACAGTAGTGAGATTGGGCCTCGCAAGGCACTTCCACCAGAGTTTGCTCTGGAAACGGAACACGAAACATAGGAAACAGCAGGAAACGCGAAATCGTCTTCTTTACGGGTTTTGGCAGGTGGCGATCGCGAAATCAAGCGTGCCTTAATTTTGTCAACGGAGGAGCCGAGGGAGGAGTAGGGACATCGCAAGGGCCGCGCAAGGGCCGCGCGAGGCCGAAGGCGAAGGGCCCGACCGAAGGGCCTGGCTGCAGGCGGGCGAGGGCAAGCGGCAAGCCCCGAGGCAAGCCAGGCAAGCCGAGGGCCTGAAGGGCAGCGCGCGTGGCGGCGTGGCGCGGCGAGGCGGACGCCGCGCAGCTGAGCGATGATGATGACGGGCTATTCTTGAACAACAAACGGGCAGCCACGCGACGCCACCCTGGGCCCTGGGCCGGGCCGCGCGGGGCCGCCACCCCCGTCACAATCTGATGGCAGCACTACGCAAGGCCCGCGGACCCACCTCAGTGCACGCCAAAGGTCGACGCCAAAGGCCGGCGCCAAAGGCGGCCAAAGGCGGCCAAAGGCCACCGCCGAAGGCATCGGCAGGCAACCAGCTGGTGCAGCACGCCGTGCACGCCGTGCTGGCCGCGCTGCCCGACGCCGAGGTGCCGGGGGTGGCGCGGGGCGGGGCCGGGAGGTGGCCGTCGTGGACCTTCCGCCGGGCGGCGCGGGCCGGCCGCTGGCAGCGGCGAGGCGTGACGGGCGTGACGCGGCGCGCCAGGAACGCCGTGACACGCGCGTGCCTGGAGCGCCTGCCGTGCCGTCGTGCCGCCGTGCTGTCGTGCCCGCCCCTCTCCGCGTGCTGCACACTGCCGCGCAATGCCCGTCCGACACAGAGGCCGCGCCGGGGTCAGGCCGCCGCCGAGCATCGAGCGGTGCACGACGCGGGGCGTGGCGGTCGTTTCACGCCCTGGGTGTTGCTGATCAGGGGTGGCAAAGCCGGCCGGGCCGCGCGCCCCCTATGCCGCCTCTCGACCACTCTCGACCGGCGTGTGCCGGGCGCGGCCAGTTGCTTGAAGTGGTCGGTCGGGGCTGTAGGCCGCAGCTCACCGAATAGCGAGGGGCTCCGAGTGCCGGGCTACCATGTAACCAGGAATGATCCTTTGCCGATTCAGGGCCTTCCGGCCAGTCCGGCCTGTAGCCAAAGGGGCGGGGCGGGGCCGCCCTATGCACATGGCGAATCTGCATATCGGACAGGCGTTGCCTTGGGCGTTGCTTGGGCGTTGCGCTGCTGGCGTCGGCTTGCCACACGTGCAGCGCAACACGTGGAGCTGACCCTGGGGGGGGGGCGGGGCGGGGCGGGGCGGGGCGGGGCGGGGCGGGGCGGGGCGGGGCGGGGCGGGGCGGGGCGGCGGGCGGGGCGGCGTGTCCCAGACTACCGGCGGGCGGCACGGCCCCTCTCCCTGTGATCTGCGTGTCCCTGCCCAACCCCTCCCCCCGCCCCCGCCCGGGGTCCTGACCGCAAAGTCTGCAACTCGGAAAAAAAGGAAGGAAAGGCAAACACGAGGATGCCGCCGGGGAACGGCTTTTGCATTCGTTCTGGTTCGCCGAAAGTTTTCTTGGAATGATCGCCGCGCGCCCCAGGGCAGGCGCAGCGGGCGCAGCACTGCCGGGGGCAGATCTCGGAATCACTCTCATTCGCCTCCCCCGTTTTATTTTTTGAGAAAGGGAAACTGTTTGCTTTGCGCCTCTCCGTCGGCTCGTCGGCTCGGCCCGGGTTGACATGTGTTGGGCTGCAAGTGCCGCATGCCGCCCGTTTCTCGGTAGCGCGGCCACCACGCGGCACCTGCACCCGAAGTCTGAGATTTGTGGGCGAGTCGAGCGAGCACTACCCCGAGCCACACCCGCAGTGGCCCGCAGTCTCACGCCTCGCCGCGCCTCGCCGCTCGTCCACGAGATCGTCGCTTTGGCCAGCTTCATCGTCCGTGACTCCGTGACGGAGAGACGACGCCGATAAGAGGCGGCTGGACGCGCGTGCGCGGTGCGGCGTGGTGCGCGTGCCGCCCGGTGGTGGCCCAGGCCAGTGCAGGCCAGTGTAGTGGCCGCAGCACGGCCTAAAGCGGGCAGTGGCGTGCTCACAGGTTTTGAAGCGGGGGTCTAGCCAGGCCTTTTGCCTATATTCGGGCGCAAGGTGTTGCAGTTTGCCTACCTTGCAGGCCGGAGTCTGTCGAGTTCAATAACAGGAAAAGTGGCGATACACATCGGCAACTTTGTCCAGGCGGCAGATGCCCTCGACGCCCACGACCGCGAAAACTCAGAGGTCTTCGTTTTCTCGGAGTACAGCCGCAGCCGCACCATTTGGGCCGACACGACACGACACGACGAGACAGAGACAACACGACACGTTGACTGAAATGCTGCAAACCGAACGGCAAGACAGATCTGCGGGCTGACGGATTGACAGACGACGCGTCGGGGCCTCGGCTCGGCTCGGCAAGGAGCCTCATGCAAGACGAATGACCCGAGTGACACGAGGGCGCCCCGAGAGGCCGAAGGTCCCCTATGAAGCCAAAGGGGAACACGGCTTATTAAGGGGTTAAGTGCGTGCCTAGCCACACGCGCCAGTGGGAGTCCCACAGTGGGACGGGGAGGGGGAGGAGGCGGGGCCTGGCGTCCCGCCGACCCCTTCCAGCGCGCCTCCAGCCTTCCAGTGCCCCCGCGCTCCAGAGAGGCTCCATTGCCCTCCGCCACTGCTATAAATCCGTATCAAAACGGACGCCTGGCGCCTGGCTCCGCCCACGCCCCACCCTCCACCCATCCGCGCAGCGGGCTGCCCGAACAGTGCGTTCTCGCGCAGGCTCTCGCACTCGGCAGCCGCACGAGCGCGAGAGAGACAGAGCCCTGTTAGGTGGGGCTCCTTCTGCTTATTTACGAGGGCGGCGGGGCGTGGCTGGCGTGATCGCGCGGGCGTGATGCGCGATGTGATGTACGGGGCGCCGGCCGATCTAGCCGCGCCGCGCGCCGCCGCGAGATGGAGAGAGATAGCGGCAGGCCAGGGGACGCACCGCGGCCGAAAATGCCGTCTTGTCGTTGCGGCTAGTTCGAACCCTTCCCCTCTCTCCCCGGCGTGCTCCCCGTTGGCTCCCCGAGGTGCCGAAGTGCCGGTCGCTACAAATGGGAGGTGGAATGTCAGCCGGGCCTGCCACCGCGGCATGCCGCCCCGGGAAATGCTTGCGCCTCAAAACGTGACGCAATTAGCGTGGGGACACGTGCACGAGGCCTCCCCCCCCCTTTTCCGCCCCCGCCCCCGCCACTGCACTGCCACTGCACTGCCACGCAGCCAGGAATGCGGCGGAAGTCCATTATCGGAGTAAACTTGTCCAACCCCAAAGCCAAAGCTTGAAGCGCCACGCCACGCCACGCGCCGGGCGGACCGCAAACGAGGCCGTGAACGTGAACGTCATAGTAGCGTCAAGGAAACGTTGCACGCTCCAAGAAGGGCGATTGAGGCGTTCGACCACGCTCTAGTTTCACCAGTGTCTCTGCTTGTTCCAGACGCGGCGGCCCAGCAGTACGGCGAGGTGAACCAGCTCGGCGGCGTGTTCGTGAACGGGCGGCCGCTGCCCAACGCGGTGCGCATGCGCATCGTGGAGCTGGCCCAGCTGGGCATCAGGCCGTGCGACATCTCACGCCAGCTGCGCGTGTCCCACGGCTGCGTGTCCAAGATCCTGGCGCGCTACCACGAGACCGGCTCCATCCTGCCCGGCGCCATCGGCGGCTCCAAGCCGCGCGTCACCACGCCCAGGGTGGTGCACTACATCAAGGTGCGCCCCATCGGAACCTTGGCCCATCGCAGAGAACCAGCAGACAGGTGGAGGCGGCCAAGACGTGTTTTGAGCTCCAGAGTCGTCAAATGGGACTCAAACCGAACGTGTTCGGAGAACAAAAATATCCATTGGTGGGGTCACACGTTCGGTTCGAAACCTGTTCAGCGACACTAGAGCTCCAATCACGTCTAGAGTTTTGGCAGCCTCCACCAGTCTTCTGGCCCGTGAACCCCAACGTTGGCCCGTTGCGCTGAGATTCCCTCGACAGGCCTTACACCCCGTTGTCCTCTCTGTCCTCCGCAGGGGCTCAAGAGCAAGGACCCCGGCATCTTCGCGTGGGAGATCCGTGACCGGCTGCTGTCCGACGGCGTGTGCGACAAGTACAACGTGCCCTCCGTGTCGTCCATCTCGCGCATCCTGCGCAACAAGATCGGGGGGCTGCCCGGCGTGGCCGCCATGGCCTCCTCCGGGGGCGGCGGCGGCAGCGCGCTGTCGGCCAGCCTGTCGGCCGGCATCGGCGGCAACACCTCGCCGTCGCACGGCGGCGCGGCGCACCCCCACCTGTACAACTCCCTGTACCCCCAGTACTCGGCCTACGCCGCCGTGCCCGCCGCGTCGCCGGCCTCGCCGTGCAACAACAACAACAAAGGGCCCTCGCCGTCGCCGCCCTACGCCGCGGTGGCTGGCGGCGGCGGCCCGCGGGGGTCGCTCGTCCCCGGCCCCGGCCACTGGCCCTCCAGCCACTCCGTCACGGACATCCTGAGCGCCGCGCACCACCACCACCTCATGCGGACGTCCGCGCCCGTGGGGTCACCGCCGGGCCAGGGCGGCAGGCCCGCCTCGCAGGGCGACGCCCAGCAGAACTACAACTACTACATGTACCTTCAGAGCTGCTCGTCCGGGGCCGGCGCCGTGCCCAACATGCACACATCCGCCCTGGCCGTCATCAACGGCGGCCACCACCATCACCACCACCATCACCATCTCCACCCCTGCCTCACCGGACAGGCCGCCACGCCCTGATGCCCTGACGCCCTGACTCCCGGAGGCGGCGGTAGCGCGGTAGCGCGGTAGCGCGGTAGCCAGGGCGTAGCGCTGCATGCCCCAGACGGTGCAGGGCGTGCAGGGCTGCATTGGCTGTGCGGTGCGCGCTGTGCGAAGGGGACGGACTCGGCAGACAAAGGCAAAGGCATTCCCGGCGGAGAATGCGCGCGCCAAGCGCCAAGCGACAAGCGCCACGTCGGGGCCCTGAGGGCTCGGAGGGCCCGCGGCCACCGCGGCGCTGCCAGTGGTGGTGCCCTGACCCTGGGGCCCCGCGCCACGCCGTGCCGTGCCACGCCGCGCCATGCCGCGAGGAAGCATCCGCGGCGCCATGATCTCCAATGACCACTCTCGTCAAAAATGAAAAAATAAAACAACCACAGCATGCAAACATATCGGAGTACAAGAGAACTTTGTCTTTGAAGGTGCGCGATGTTCACGAGCCGGATAGGCCCGACCGAACATTGTGTGGTCCTTCTAAGCATGCGTTTGATAGTGACTTTTGAAACGAGAGAGCCTTGCCAAAGATTGCGCAAACTGTGATCAATTACTTTATTATTTAAGGCAAGCTGCTTGTTGTTCGTGTACATAGTGATGCCAGTAGGGCCCTACAGAGTTACTTCAGCCGTTCGGCCTCTGGAATAAAATAATTTTGTACTGCAAAATGGTGTCATGTTTTTAACCGTGTTGGATGTGTCAAAACCAATGGATTTCTGGCAGTATTGTCAAAATGAACTACGCCTCTCTTATTTTGATAAAGTAAAGTATGAGCTTTGATGAAAATGTTGAAAGATTTTGCCGTATTGTGTCTTTACCTTGATTCCGCCACCCCCAAAAAATGCCGCACGACCGCGGAGAACGACTTTTCCAGCTTGCCGACCGGGCCAAGCTACAAAGTAAGCGTTCGCAGTAAACTGTAGCAGGGTACCACGGGTGTGTTTTTATGTGTGTGTGTTTGTGAGGGAGAGGGGACATTGCACGGCTTGGGTCACTTCCATCGCCTTTCCGTTCGTGGCCGACATAAATTCAGAGTGAGCAATAAAACATCTCAGCCCTCGTCCCTCTGTGTAAAGTCAACAGCGTTGTTGCTGGCGAGCGCGTTCCCGCCCAGTTTTCCTAAACCGTTTTTCCTAATGTGTATTTTTCCTAAAGACAATCTTCCTAAAGCAAATTTTCCTAATCCGTGTTTCCTAAGGACGATTTTCCTAAGGCTTTTTTTCCTAAAATGGAATACAGCAGAATATCGCCTTTAATTTGGTGTCTACCTGGTCGTTTTATTGTTGCTGCAACCCAACCTCCTGGACCTGAAGTATTTTGAGTACATTTTGGTTGTTTATCAGTTTTCTTTGCGTACCATAATGGAATTTGAAAATAAGTATGTGGAAGACATAAGATAAAATTAAGACCCAAAATACAAACCACTAAAAATCAAGTCCTGGCTCCCAACAAAGTCGCTTTCATCAGCTGATGAGACATTATGCTGTTGCTTGGTGGACTTTACTGAGGGAACTGGTGGAGGAGGCATGCACCGCGCGGATGTGGACATCGATTTGGAAATGGAATTATCTGAGGAATCTGTTCCAGTGTACTTGGCTAAAAGTTGCTGTTTTCCTTTGTTTGGGGACATTTCTGTCACCCTTGAGGAAGATTGCTGGACAGCAAGGGGCTTTTTAGGAGAAAATGTTTCTCGCTGTAGAAGAGCCATCCCCTTGGATAACAAAAATACATGGTTCACAAATAATTCAAATCATTCCCCCGCCCCATTTAATTGTTTCAAATCAGAGGAAAAGTATATTTACTTTTTTACTGAGGGGAGATGGTGCTTCAGAGGCATTCATATTCTCACTTGGCATACAGTTAAAGGGTTCTTCCACTGCAGGACTTTTCTGAGCCACACTTTCTATCAGCCATTTAATATTAACGACATGCGGCCTAAAAAAAGAACAAAAAACAACATGCTGAAATGGTAAACATGACAATTACTTTTTCAAACTCTGAGGTAAACTTACGTGTGTGAAAGATTCTTCAATACACGTAAAAATGGCTTTTCAAGATTTCCCACAAGAACGTGAGACACTCTGTCATTGAGGTCAGAGAAGCGAGTAGCCCCACTACATTTCAGCACCTTTCGTAATATCTCTTCCTCTTCAGTGTTCCAACCCATAATGTAAACCTGAACAAACAATCATGGGTTACAAAAGAATCATCCTTGAAGTTAAGTTATACAAATATATCAAAGTAAAAACAGAAAGTTACCCCACAGCCATCAAGAAAGGGGCCAGCTCGCTTTGTCTGGGTTAGATCCAGTTCAGAGAGCAGGTGCTTGAATTCTCCAGGAGCAGTAGGTTGGACAATTAACTTTACAGGAGTTCTACATTTAACAGGAGTTCTTTTTGGTGCAGGTGGTGGCATTTTAACTGGAGTGTTAGATTTAGGAATAGGACAATAACTTGCCACACTAGATGTTGTGGAATTCAGTACTGTTTCATCTATGTGTGTTTTTTGGTCAAACTGTACAGTGCTTAAGTTGGCTGAGAAATTTACTGAAACAAACCACGCATGTGGATCAAAAACTTTCTCCTGCTGACCATTATTTAACTTCAGAGACATGCGACAAACTCTTTTTTTTTTTTTTTCAAGATTTTTGAAATACTTACAAGTAGCATTGCTTGACTTTGGGGAAGAAACAGCATTTCCGTCAACCTCATAGGCTTTTGTTGGTAGAGCATTTCCTGCTTCAACACTATCATAGATCCATCGTAATTCCACACAAGGTACGCCCCAAAGTTTAGCATGCTTGAATTTATCCCCTTTAGTTTGTTTGACAACAAGCACATTTACTTGTCCATTCAATGAATGGTCATATTGCCCACCTGCAAGTAAGTTTGTCAAAAGTGTACCCGTTTTTCTAGTTTCAAAAATTCTCATTGCGATCATTATCATTTTAAATACCAACCATATTTAGCTAAAGTTCTTTTGAGTTTATCTTGCTCTCTGATATTCAGTCCAGTCGAGGCCACTTTTAAATCTAGGAAAGGAGGACAACGGTACTCATCAAATTTCTCATCAGTAGCAAAAATGTATTCCTTAAGGCTTCTCTTCCAAACTGCGTCTACCCATTCAAAAGTTCGTGCAGGAACTCCCAATTCAAGAGCTTTCTGTAAAAAGGAGACAAAGTGGCAAACTTACAGTTTTCATTTGACAACTTAGAGATAAATGGAGACAAAATAGTTAAAGATGAGATAAAAATAAACTCATACCTCATATTTGGATGAAACAACAGATGATACAACAACATGAGTGGTTTTATCTGTCAAACTTTTTAAAAATACACCTGACATCATTTCAACTTTCTGCCTTATTTTATTCTGTAAACATTAACCTTGGTCAGGAGCACACACAAAGCTAGTAAAATTATTATTGATTTGAGGGCAGACATACCTTTACTTCAACACCACCACCACTGACGGTGATAGAAAGACCTTTCATGGCGATGGTGAATGAGGGATTTCTAACCAAGGGCATCGGCTCACCCAGCATGATGCAATGGGTGAGGCATCGGGGGCCGATGAGACTACTAGAACAAACAACACAAGCATGATAAACACAGCACAATCACTAATGGAGCATGAATTCAGGTGAACAAGATAGGCTGATCTAGGAATGATCCAATGCCGATTCAGGCCCTCTAAACAATTATTTCCAACATTACTTACACACACTTAAATTGTTGAAGATGTTCAAAAGCGGCTCCTGCAAAGTTTTGGAAAACGAAAACGTTTCGTTTGGAAGGGGATAAGAACAAACAACTGTCTTCAGTTCTCCATTCCGGGGTGTAGTCATTGTCAGCTGCAGTACTGAAGGCCTCTTTCATATCATTGTCACATTCATCTTTATCTAAATTTTGTGGCACTACAAAATACAGACCAACCTCTTCATCATCCTCAGTCTGGGTCAGGATATGAAGTTTTGATGCCATTAGGATCGGGTCAATCTGTAGGATTTAAATCAGAAACAAAATGGGTACATGTAAAGCAAATATGTAGACAAGAGACACAGGAGGTTATGTCGAAAGTCCCTCAACTGTTATTAGAAAAGGATCACGAGGTGATAAAAAATACGTACCCTTTATTAGACAATTTAGTAAAGCATTAAACTCTTGAGGCTTCGGAATTTTACAATCAAGAAAAGTACTGTTGTTTCTCGTTTCTGTTCGTTCTGTTCGTCCCTTTGGTGCCTTTTTGGTCCCGCCGAAAATTTGCAACCGCTATGGTAAACAAACGCCAACATCTACAAAATTAAAAAATCAACTCACACTTTCAAGCAGATGATTGATCATATGTTTCATATACGGCTTAAGCCTTGTTTTCTTAAAAATTTAAAACAATGATGATCAACAAAACTAGAAAACGCTTCGGATTTTTTTTTTTCAAATACTTTCTTTGTTGGCTAACCTTATAGCAGACAAGTAAACAAAAGAGCTCCGAAGAGAAGAGAGTGAAACCATAACCTTTTCTCCTGCTCTTGCTCTTGGTTTCCTCTGTTTGTGTTTTCTGCCTTTTAACCATGATTAGGGCTTTGGCAGTATCGTTACGTGGTGTTGCGGTTGTTCAAAAAGCTACCGTGCCCATTGCTAGAAATTTCAGTGTGTCTCCTTGGTTGGGATTGAAAGAGAGTAAGTTTCGTAGATTTCGAATTTAACTGCACTTGTCTTTGTTAATTCAATGCAACGCGCTTAAAAGTCTAGAACTAATCAAAGAAATAAAAAGATAACTAAATTAATAATTAAATATACGATGCTATAATGCATCATTCAAATGTCGATACATGTCATTGTTTTGTGATTAAGGCAAGAGGTCCCAATGATGTAAATAGCATGGAAAGGAGTCAACATTTGCCGAAAGATTCTGTTGATATTTAATTGGTTACCAGACCCCACATTGAACTTTTCAAAGCCTTTGTGGGGTTGGCAGCTACACTGTGTGATAATCACACACATCAAGTCTGCTTTTGAAAGTTGGGGGCTTGGTACTAAATTCAACAATTGCTTGTTACTTATGTTTGGTGTTTTACATTGTTTTTCAGTTCGGGAGACCCAAGATGGAAATACACTCATAATTGAAGGTGTCAATGTTAAGTCTCCACGAGAAGATTTAGTTATAAACACACAAAATGAAAGGGGGGCATGCTCCTTGTGTGCTCTTGGTTTAGATGTAAAACACACAGTGAGTAGGACCTTTGTTTCCTCAAGTTTTTGTTGTGTCATTTAATTAAAAAAACCTATATTTCATTAAACCATTTTCAGGATATTTTAATCATCAAGCAGTTTTTGGATCATAATGCACAACTTTTTCCGAGAAACATAACTGGTTTATGTAGATGGCAGCACCGCAAAATGAAGTATCTAATTGAAATGGCGACCCGAGCAGGTAAAGCTTGCCTTTATCTATTTGTAATATCTGGTTGATGTGATGAAATTTTCAATCTCAGAGAGAATTAATTTTGTTGTTATGAATTTCAGGTCTAATTAATCAGCTCCTACCTCAGCCTGTCACTGTGCCTGCCTATCAACGCGGATGGAGGAAGTTTAATTCTTATTACGATGAGTCACTAATCCCTGAGTCCAAGAGTGAGTATGCTCTACGAAAGAATAGAGAGTTCGAAGAAGCTTACACACTTGCCAAAGCGGAAAAAGATGCTCATGAAGAAATGCTCAGGGCCAGAAGAGCAATGAGAAGTACTAATGGTGTAAAGCCTGTTCAGCTTTCTTAATTGTATTTTCACGTCATTGATTGTTGATGTGTTTTATAAAAATGAATGAATTCAAAGGGAAGAGTTATAAATAAATGTGGGTTAAATCAGTATAAAAGAAATTTATTCTTTCCTTTGTTCAAGCAGTTTATTTCTGACTAGATACCAGATAGTACTCCCGGATTGAAAGTGCTTGGTATACAACAATGGTTTTCTTATTTTTATTTACACAACTACTTGCTTTCTCCAAAAAGAAATAGCATCACTTACCTGTGGTGTGAGGTCATTTACATATATATGTTTGTTCATAAGCTACCAATACATGCTATGAAATAATGTGGTCTAAGAGAGAGTCAAGTTATTCTCAATATTACCCACTCTCATGCTAGTGACTTAAAAGTTTAAACTAGTTTGCTATAATATTTTAATAGCGTTGTATTTGCCAGCTGTGGCATCTTTGGATTACAAGGACATGACTACAAGGACAATTACTTGCCATTAATGGGATTTAATTTTGAATTAACTTAAGAGCAGAGCAGTAACAGAGAATTCAACGCTCTGTTTCATCCTGATACAGGTGTGCTGTCAACAAGAAAGATAATTCTTTCTTTGGATGACTGAAGTTCATGCTGCTTCATTGAAATTGAAAGGAAATGAGAACACAAAGGAGACAATCTCACGCGTTAGCAAACAAAGTTGTTTAGACTTGACCTTCATTTGGCCAAGAGTTATTGCGGCCAGGCACGCTGGGCATAGTACATAAAAGTGACCAGCACATCTGACGCTCAAGGTGAAACGCAACCAACAGTTCGTGCTCCGTGCCGCGACGCCGCGACGCTCTTCAGACGAGCGTGTCCAGGATGTACACGCCCTCCTCGCTGCTGGAGTGCAGGGAGCTCAGCCCGGTGTCGGAGTTGGAGTCGTTGTCCTGCCCCTTGCCGAGCTGGTGGAGCTGTCCGAGCTGGCCGCCGCAAGACAGGGCGGTCATGCGCTCGCTGCCGGTCACTGCGGTGACGGTGACGGCGTCCGCGCGTGCCGGGGGCGGTGCCGGGGGCGGTACCGCGGCCGGCGGTGGTGGCGGCGGCGGCGAGGCCATGGCGGCGTCCGCGGCGTCCCGCGCCGCGTCCCTGGCCGCCATGAGCCTGGCCGTGTCCAAGTCCGCCGCCTCCATCTCGGCGAGCAGGCGTCGCAGCAGGCGCCGCTTGGCGTCGAGGAGCGCGTCCGTCTCGCTCAGCAGGTCGGCGTTGGCCTCCATGCTCCTCCGGCCGTCCGCGATGTCCTGCAAACCAACAAAGGGGCTGTCAAAGCTCTGGGGTGCGGGAAATGGCGAGGCCGTGGTCATGCCAGTGTGTCATGCCATTCACCTGCTCCAGGCGGGCGAGGGACGTCCGCAGCTGCTCCCGGTCGTCCACGGCCACACCGTCGGGGTCGCTGCGCCGGAAGCCCACGTACAGGCGGACCAGGCGTTCCTCCTGCTGCTCCAGCCGCTTGTTCACCTTCACCACCTTCTCCCACAGGGCGATGCGCGCCCCGAGGTCCCCGCCGAGGTCGCCGCCGCCGTCCTCCGGTGCAGGGCCCGCGGCCACTGGGGCCGCGGCCTCGGGGTGACGCGCGGCGTCCTTGTTCTTCTGGCGGCCGGGCGCGTCCGCGGCCAGCGAGGCCAGCGAGGCCGGCAGTGACTTGGGCCCCCACTCGTCGCCCCGCTCGTCGCGCCGCTCGTCGTCCGACTCGTCCGCCCAGTCCACCACGTCGTCCAGGGCCGCGAGTTGCCGTGGCCTGATGCCGCATCGGCCCGGCCTGCCGGAAAGAAAAGGGTGTTAGGTTCATCCATCTGCCCAAATCCACTCGGCAGACTCGGCAGATCGCAGCAGCAATAGAAGACCATCGGCTCACAACCAACCCTGTCTGCCGAGCGGTCCCGATGGCTCGTCTCTCTCGCACCCCTCTGGGGTGTGTCGCGAGTCGCGAGTGCGACAGAGACAGCGACGAAATGACCCTTCGGAGTCGCTTGGCTTGGGCTCGCTGGGGCTGTTCGCGCTGTTCGCGCTGTTCGCGCTTGTGGGCCTCACCTGCCGGGCTGGGCGTGCTGCGTCCTGCTCTTGGGCGTGTCCTTGGCGGCGTCCTTGGCGGGGTCCTCCTCGGCGTCCTGGCCGACGGTGCCGAGGTAGGCGGCCAGCACGTAGTCCTTGCCGTGCTGCGCCTCCCGCTCGCGGTGCGTCTCCGTCTCCAGCCGCTCGATCTGCGCCTCGCGTTCGCGGAGCCGCCTGCAGAAGACGAGACAGTGCAGTGGCGATACTCCACGGAGTGGCCCGCGCCCCGCGCCTCGCGCGGAGTAGCGACGCGGCCGAGGGACAAGATTCAGAGTCCGGCAGGCTGCGCTACGCACCTGAGCTGGCCGGCGATGGTCTCGCCCTGCGCCAGGATAAGCTTCATGAGGCGGTGCACCTCATCCTGGCCGTGGTCGCGGCCGTGGTCCTGGCCGTGGTCGTGCAGGGTGGGGCTGGGCCTCGGCCGCTTGGCGCTGCGCTCGGCGCGCTTGCGGTGCCGCCCCCCAGCCCGCGACCCAGCCCGTGCCGCCGCCGCGGCGTGGTGGCCGTGGCGACCCTTCTCGCAGGCGCGCCGCACCAGCAGCTGCACCTCGCTCTGCGCCTCGCCCCATGCCGCCCACACCTGTAGGCAAAGCAAACACTGTCACACTGTCATCGCAGGCGAGGCGCCACGGGTGCGAGAGAGACACACTACGTGCACTCCGCCCGGCTTTACCTTGAGCAGGCGCACCCTGCTGTCCAGCCGGCGCTCCACGCCCTTCCAGCGCTCCACGATGACGTAGGCCGACGGGTCAATGTTCGTGACTCGGCCCTCCCCCGCGTCGTGGTGCTCGTGGCGCTCGTGGTCGCCGGGCCCCGGGGTGGCGAGCACGGCCTCCAGCACGTCCTGGCACGTGGTGCGCCGGCACACCCCGCTCACCCAGCGGCAGCGGCCGAACACCCACACCGGCAACTCAGCCGTCATGGCCTCCTGCATGGCATGGCCGGGATGGCCGGGCATGGCCGCCCGGGCCGGCTCAGGGCATGGCCGCCGCCGGCGCGCGCGCGTCCACCTGCAACAGAAACAACACCGTGAGCAGCAGGAAGGCTGTGCCTATCTCCGTCTCTCCCGCTCACGCGTGCGGCAGGAGACAGAAGAAAGTATTCTGCAGAAATGTCTGGGACCGATCCCTGACCCGTTGGAAGTTGGAGATGTGCGAATGGTCGGATCGAATGGTATCAGGTCAAGATTCTGCCTCTCAAGATTCTGCGTCAAATCGAAGCTGCTCTAGAAATGAAGCCTGTCCTGCGCGAGCGACTCCGTAGTCTCCTCGCCTCGTCTCGGCGTGCCAGTGCTGTAGTGCTGTAGGTGCGGCGTCCCTTTGGCCAGCCATCCCGAGCCATCCGGGGCCTCTCAGTTTCTCCATCAGTGCCTCTCTCTTCCGAGGCGCTCGGAGCGAACGACTTGATTACGGCCCCGCGAATTGGACCAAATTAAAATTGCAGCGCTTGGTCGTAACCTCGCACCGCGTGATGCAACGGATGCGCCGAGCAGGCGGTGCAGCCGTCGTTGCGGTGCGGCGCCGCGATTGGCCGATGAGGAGTCCGCGGTCGGCCGGCCGGCTTGACCCCACGGCCCCTCTGCAGACCGATTCGCCCCGTCTCTCTCGCACCTGTACGGCACGCCCCGTGAGTGCGAGAGGGACAGAGCGGCGAGAACGACTCTCGGAATCGGTCTGCAGCCTGAGCATCACGGGCCGGCCGAGCGGGAAATAATAAAAAAGGACGCTTCGAGGGGAAGGAGAGTCAAAGGTCAAGCCGCCGGTAATGAGAGGACTCTTTCATGATCAATTGGAGGGCTGAACGAGAGAGAGGTACGAGCGGAGCGGGCAAGCAGGCCGAGCCGCGCAGCGCCGCGCCGAGCCGCGCCGAGTCGGGCCAACGGGCGCCCCGGGCAAACAAAGCAATCAGTGTGTCCAGCCAGTCCAGCCTGCCCCGGCCGCCCTGCCCCCTGCCCAGCCCGTACAGTAAAACTCCCCTCTAGGCTGGTCCCCTCCAAGCTTTTTTTTTTATTTTCGCTGTGTAGCCAGTCCCTTCGCAGCTCGGTGCGAGCTCGCCGTTTGACGAGGGGATGACAGCTGAGGGCCACAAACCGGCAGTGACCGCTCCACTAGCCCGACTTGTCTAGGTCCAAATAAGCCCAAACTCGCGATTCAAATTTTTTTGCGTGTAGTACTACATGAGATACCGTGCTGTGCAAAATCTCAGGCCGATCGGACAAGTAGTTCCCGAGATATGATTTTTTAAAGTTTCGCCAAAACTTGCTGCAACCGGCTGCACCTGCGTTTATTGCCCTCCCGGCGCACCGGGTCGACCCTCGCCGTCCCTTGCACCATGTGGTCAACGAATCGGGCTGTTCTCTCGAAGCTTAATCTGTCCCCCGATTTGTCAGCTTGGATGGGAGTTTTACTGTACCGCGCTGCAGCGCTCAATGGACAGCGGGCCCGGCGTGGTCCGGCATATCGCAGCCCCCTCCCGATTCCCACATGACTGCGGCCCCTCCTTACAGAGTTTCTCACGTCGTTTTACACGTTTGTCGGCCCGCCGTGCGCCGCCAAGGTGTTATTGGATGCAATAGTGAGGGGCTGTGTGTGCGTGCGTGTGTGTGTGTGTGTGTGTGGTGTGTGTGAGTGTGCGCGTGTGTGTAAGGGGGGAGGGGGTGTGCTCGTCGCAGTACGGACTGCTGCCACGCTCTGTGTTCGACGGGGTGCTCTGTCGGGGTGCTCGCCGCACCCTCTTCGCCGCCCCCGACGCGCGGTTCGTGATTGACTGGCCGCAGAGAGCCGAGGAAATGCAAATTAGCGCCGACTGTCAGTTCGTGGATCCGCGGCCGGTCCAGGCCAGTCGGTCTGACGGACGGGGCGGGGCGGGCCGGGGCGGGGCGGATGACTTTCCCGCCAAAAGGGGAAACGCTGTCGGCCCCGCCCCGGCAAGGAGGCAACCGGCAGGACCGCCAGACCTTTGCCCTTCAACGCCATGCTTACTCACTCTTCTCATTGATGACGCCCCACCGCCCGCCTGTCTGTCTGTCTGTCTGTCTGTCTGCCTGTCTGTCTGTCTGTCTGGTTGGCAGCCCTGCCGGTCCGGTTGTGCACGGAGCGCGAGCTTCGGGGCGCGGGCGCGCGCGGGCGCGTCGGGCGGGGCCGAAGTAACGCGATGTGGCAGGGCAGCAGGGCAGCCACCGCGGTGGGACCACGGCGTAGCCACTACACGCTACACCGCACCGCGCGCACCGCGCGCACCGCGCGCACCGCTGCCACGGCCAGCCAAGGCGCCATCCATCAGACCGGCCGGCGGGTTGGCACTGTTGGCACCACTGCCTCGCCTCGCACGCTGAGCCTGTCCGGCCTGTCCACGCCAAGCTACGCCAAGCAGGTGTCAATGCTGGCAACCGCATCCATCACGGGCAGCAACAAAAAATGGGCGCTTGTCGATGACGAGCCAGCAAGTCGCTCCGCCCATTGTGGCGGACTGAAGGACTGCAGGTCCTTAGCGGAGGGGTGCTGTTGCCTTGTTGACGCTGCCGTGTTTCAACAAATACTTACAGTGGGTGTGAAGGTAACATGTTTCCCGCGCCGAGGCTGGAAGCCCGAAAGGGACGCAAATAATGCACGACGGCGTGGACACCCCTGCGACGCCACTGGCCCTACACTGATTCAGACAGTCGGTTTCGCCACTCCGTCTCTCTCGCACCTATACCGGGCGCCCCATGAGTGCGAGAGAGCGCGCCGGAAACGACTCTGCTGGCGCCATGGGCCAGCTGGCCAGTGCCCAAGGCTGCCCGCCTCGAAGGGCGCGACCGCCGGCCCCTCCCATGAGGGCGAGGGCTCGCCACGCTCTTGGCCTCCAAAGTATTCGTCCCCCGGCACCTGGAACCCTCCATGCAGCCCCGATCTGTTCCCACCGGCCGGACCGGCCGGGCCGCGGGCAGGGCCCCTCCCAGACCGAGACCCCCTAGTCGGCGGTCCGAGGGCTCGGGGCGCGGCCGGCCGGCGGCTCGGTCCGGCCCGCTGGATGGAGGTGTTGATTTCTCATTGGATCGGCATGCCGCCTATTTGTTGTGCTGGACCCTGGGACCTCGGCGAGGCCTGTGGCGGGGCGGCCCCGGGGCGGGCACGAGCTGATGGGGCGTGACGGAGGGGCATGACGCCCGGAGACCCAGAGAGCCCCTACTGGGGCAGAGCTAAGAGGTCCGCTCCGTGCCAGGAATGCGTTGGTCAGCTGCAGACTGATTCCGAGAGTCGTTTCCGTCGCCCTGTCTCTCTCGCACTCCTTATGGGACCTATGGGACTCGTCCTGGACGCTCCAGCGGAGAGGCTTGCCTCAAAGTCCTTCTCCGGCGAGGCCGAGGGCGAGGCCCGCGCGAGGTGACGGTGGCACCTTTTCCGGAAATTGGTCGCCTGCCGTGCTTTCGCAGGTGCCGGGCAAACTGCAAATCCGTCGTCGCTCTCTCGCGGCCTCGCAGGGCGTTCCTTATGTGTGCGAGTGTAAGCCTACTGGGGCGTGTCTGTGCGGTATTTAGACCGCGATGCCGAATCACTTGGTTTGATGCATTCGCTGCGATTCGCTGGATTGGCTGGAGTCCTTGCGGCGCTAGCGGCCCGCGCCGTGCGTTCCGCCTTGTTGACTCGCGCGGGCAGTTCGAGTGGGAGGGCCCGTCGCCCCGTCTCTCTCTCTCTCTCTCTCGCAGGCCTACGGGACGCGCCATGAGTGCGAGAGAGATAGACGAAGGCCCGGCCCGTCAGAAGCTGGACGCTGTGGAAATTGACGGCCCTAGAATAATAGTGGCGGAGTAGGAGCCGCGCAACGCACACATATGCAACCCCCACAGCCCCGCCGCGCCCCGCCGCGAGCCACCGCAAACAATGGCCATTGTCGCCCAGTCGGACGCTGTCCGGCCGGAGAGTGCCCCACAGTGCCCCGCAGTGCCCCGGTCGCAGTCCTGGGAACAGGCCACGCTCGGCGCTGCTCTCCGTCATCTCCCCCGCGAGACACGGGGACAACAAGCCAATTCAGAAGATCGCTCTGTCCCTCTCGCACCCTCGCGGAGAGCCCCATGAGTGCGACAGAGACAGGGCGACGGAACGACGTCCCTTCTGAATGGCGCGGCCGACTGCCTGGCTGGCGGCGAGCTCCACGCCGAGCTCCACGCCGAGCGCCCGCGAGACGGAGGGTAGGCAGCCCCGCCACGCGGCCGTGCGTCGGGGCAGCGCGCTGCCTGCCTTCCGGGGGTTCTCCCGGCTCTACGCCGACCAGGGTCCGTTGGCCGTTCGCCACGCTAGGCGCGCCTCTTTGGGCCGTGGACCCGGCCGCCTCATTCTGAAGAATCGACGCGTCGCTCTGTCTCTCTCGCTCCGCGCTGCGTTGCCTGGCGGTGCCTGCGGTGGGCGATGAGAGCGACAGAGACGGAGCGATCCTCGGCGGCAGCGGGCGGCCCTCGGAGCGGCCGGTTCGATGAAGAACGCGTCCCCGCCGTATAAGGCCCACATGCAGCGGGGACCGGCGCAGCGGTTTTCGTTTGCACCTCCCCGTGCGTGCCAGAGTGTGAATGTGTCAGTGTGTGTGCATGATACAGGCCGACCTCCCGTCGTCGGGGATCACAGTGAAAAATGCGCGGTGCCCGGCGGTGCCCGGCGGTGCCGCTCGCGCAGCGCGGCGCAGCGGGCCCTCTGCGTGTGCCGTACCGTCTCGGGAGACACAAAAAGAAAGAGAATCGAAGAGAAACCGCTGTTGGCGCAGCGAGTCGGACAAATGTACGACCTGCGCCTGAAGGGCCCCTACAGTTCCTGTCAAAACCAAGTCGTAACTGTACTTGAGTCAAGCATACAATCACGCTTTGAAGGAGCTACGCATGGAATGAAGCGTAGACAAGAAATACCCCACACATTTAGGAAGGGACAATCTGAGGGGCAGGTGGTTGCGCTGCTTCTCTTTTAGCAGTGTGACTTGAACGCGCAATCCGTGGCCGTGCTGCAACTCGCGGTGCGTCGCAGCGGCGCGACTCCCCCGCACG